ATTTGCACATTCAAAAAAAAAAAGTCAGGAGAGACAACAGTGACACTCAATGTCCGGAACTGTCGCCTGGGACAAAAAAATATTTAAAAAAAAAAAAAAAAAAAAGTCTGATCTTACTAATTTAAAATAAGTACATACCGCTTGTTAGTGATATTAGTTAAATGCACACTAAGCTTCACCGTGAAACACAACTACTTCCAGGAAATATTTATATAAATGAAGTGATTATTTAGAACACTAAAATTTACAAAAAACTGACATTGAAAATCTGATGAGTTACTTTCTACATATTAACCATGGTACGCGAGGAGAACAATTTTTTACTACATTATTCTGACTGCGCATCTAGACATGCCTTTCATCAAAATAAAATTGAAGATTCAAAGTTTGTTTAAATAGAACATATCACCCATGACTGGTAAAAACATTACATTTTGCTAAAAGTTACTGGATTTGCCCCGCCCACCCCGGTGTGATCATATTTGTTTTCTTTCAATATATTCGGTCTGTTTACTTTTATTAGATTCAAAAGTTGATTTTTGATCAAATGGACAAACTAGAGAACATTTACAAATTGATAATTTACAAAATATAGTGTGATATACGGTAGTGATCAATGTGCTATAATGAAATTGACACAATTTACAGTGATACATTTTGTACTCACTGTTTCTGACACAGACACTGCATTATAAGCATAACAAACAGACTACTTAGGATGGGACTGACGGTTATTTTTAAATGGAACACATATACAGAATTAAAATATTATATTTTACATGGTAGACAGATGTTGAATAAATTTGTAGCCAAAGTGGTAATCAAGTCATCGGCCTACTATATACTATTTATAGTATTCAGCCTAATTTACTTTTGTTCAGACGCTATCAATAAATTTATCAATCAGCAAGTTGGTGAATCTGGCATGGAGCCTTTCTGTAAGAGATTGAGAATGTCATGGTCATGCAGCATGTCATTTTTCTCCCTGAAAAAATAATTATTGACAAATCCTCAAAAGATTTATTAGGTGTGAACAAAAGGTTGAAATATCGAGAAATATTTCCCAACCACGAGACTTTTACGCTATTTTTTTCGTTATGAAAAAAAACAAAGAGGATTTTTTTTGAGCATTGGTAACCCAACCTGAAAATGAGTTAAATAAAATGACCTCATCTAATATGCATCCCTCGAGTGTCTCCTTTATACAAAGTAATTATCTCTTAATCAAAATCTATATTTGTAAAATTCTAAATTCTCCCAACTTGGAAATACTGTTATCTGAATTTTGAAGACAAGTGTCATTCTGTCATAGTAACCTCATCAAGTTCAACAGAATCAATATGTCCCTAGTTAAACACAAAAGTCATCGCATATAGGTTATCTTGATTGTCAACAGTCACTTAATTTAATCAATAATTTGGATTTTTATATTGATGTTAAACATTAATTGAAAGCAGCTGAGTTCATCCTAGAATGGAAAATACCAATACAGTAATGATAGAGACATCAAGGTCATTTTTTATAAATAAAACAAATAGGTTGAATTCCAAACATCAAGGGCATTTTTATATTAACTAGGTTGAATTCCGAACTCATAAATCAGACAGACGACATAATTCGCATATAATTCAAAGTGAAAACAAGAATGGAATTGATACAAGTTGCCAAACGTCAACCCAAATGCTGTTAAATGAGTTTATAAAAGCATGATGAAACATGTATAATGATTAGTGAATATCACTTTCAAAAAGTCTAAACTCAATTGATATCCTTATACAATAGATTGAAGATATCATTTTTTCATCTCAGATTACCCTTTAATGAGTTAAGCCAGACAATACAGAGAATATTATAAAAAACCATACATATATATTCCTAGAATTTCATAAAATACGACACTTTCATCTTGAATTACCCATAAGTCTTCACAGATTTTCTTTAATTATTCGTCTTGTCTCACCTGGAAGTTAGGTTTGACTAAGGAGAAGGCAGACCTGAACCAGGATAAATACAATTTTACAATACAATTGGCTGACTTATTGTACACTAAAGATATTATATACAGGTGGTATGTATTTGTTACGGCATTGTGATTGATTTGAAATTGTAAGTTCAGGATTTAATCATTTGAACGGCATATTTGTTTCCTCCAAATACCACCAGACATTCTCACCCAATTTTTCTGCACTTTTTTCCTAAAATTCTTGTCTAATTTTGGAACCAACACAAAAAATTTGAGTAAACTTTCAGTTTTTACTCAAAAAAATTGACTATTTTTATGCAAGTACATGACGTCCCAATAGAACCACTACTACATTTTTTAGTACTTCCTACTAACCATTCAAACTGAACATAAGGTACAGCTACTTTTCAAAAGTAATAATTTCATTTCTTTCATTGTTAAATTTTTTTCTAATTGCAAGGATTTATCTCAAAATATTGATGTACCTGATATATACCAGGTAGTGTTTGTGTCAATTGATTTAAATTTGTTTTTATTTGTGGTCCAAAGAAATCGCTACTAAAAATGCTATTTTGTTCAGATTATTTGACTGGAAAAAAAAAGCCTACAAATTGTTCACTAACACTAAGATCCTAAACTATCCTTCAACAAGTAAATCTTTTAATACTGTCACCTTCACTATTTCTACAGATTGAAGAACTAAAGAGCTTAAAATTTATAGATGCATCAAAGTGCATTGCTTTAATGCCCAACAAATTTTCCTTGGTGCTCTTCAGTGTTCCCTATGTGCTAAGGTTATTTTATAAATTTTGGCTTTGAAAATGTGCGCCCTTTTCAATTCTGAAATTCAAGCCCTGCAACTGCATTATTTTTAGCTCCTATTCATAGCAGGAATTGTTCATTAAATTTTGTTGAGCAATGTGTTACTTTATCATAAAATCTCTCCAACAAACTCCATTCAACGACAGATTGATATCGCTTGGTTTTCAGCCAATATCAATATTAGCAAAGTGGATATATCATAATGCATAAGTGTTTATAATTGCTCAATGCAAACTGTGCACATTTGCAGTGAACCCAAATCAAATGAAGTAGATGCAGCACTGATACGTCAACTTGAGAAAATCACAAGTCTTTCTATAAATAGATAAATTGAATATCTAAAGCGAATAAACGAAGAAGCTACTAACGAATAAAATTAAGGCCAAAAAAAATAATTTACGGATCAGTATGCATGTCAGTTCACAACTTTTTTTTTCGGTTTCAGCAAAAATATTACGAAAAATAAAAAAAAACAGCTGAGGAACAGAAACACATTTTTTTTTACGATGCATCTACTTAAAATATATAATTCAGATATATTAAATAAAACATATCAACAATGAGGTTTTTTTCTAATGGAGCTACTTGCAAAAGAAAGCGTCACACCCACTTTCCAGTATTCAGCCAAGCACTACAATTTGCAAACAAGGATGACAGATGTCACCAGTTGTGTCAATTTCACAATGTCTCGTTTCCCTCTCCCTATTTTGGAATAGAATAGTCCTCACAGAGTACTTCAATATTCGTTAGATGTTAAAAAGACGCTCATTAGAAGACAATTAATGAGATGACATTGATAAATTAATCTAAATATAGAAGACAGTCGTGCTTGTTTCTTTGTAAATTCCACATCAAGTGTTTTTTTATGACAATGACATTTTAGATCCTTTCATTCAGTGAATGCAATGGGAAACCCTAATGCCGTCCTCCCATGCTACATTGTATAATGTTAATTAAACTTCCTTTACAATCTTGCGTGAAAAACATCCAATTTTCTATAAATAGGCCTAGTAATGAAAAAGAGGTCAACTTATTTTAAATGTGAAGCAAAAAAAAACAATATTTGTCTCTGCAAAAAATAATTATTAAAATGCAAGCAATTGTTCTGCCTTGTACTAAGTAAGCAACAGTACCTTAACACTTTAAGGCGGCAGTGAGCTACATGTATCAGACTAAAGTTATAATATGCATGCGATATTTGTACGCTTACAGTTACAATACAAAAGTTAAAGCTATTTATGGTTGATATGGAACGACGTAAAATATTAACGATTAGATGTTAGCTCTTATAAATTTATAAACAGTGACTGAAAGCACCTGCGAAACTCTGAAAGTGTAAACAGATGACTCATTGTTTTGGTCATGTGACTGTGTAACTTTCACTTGTCAAAACAGGACATTGACCTTATTACTACAAGTAAACAACATAGTTGTGATTATGTTAAGTTCAATATTTGAGGTTTTGCTGGAAATAAAAAATGGATAAACCATTTTTTGTAACATTCAAAGGCTATTGCTATAGTGTTACACCTAATTCAATGAAAGTGGTCTAACAACAGAACATTTACAATAGTAAAAATAACCTTATTATAAAAGAGACAAAGCAGCATCTTTAACACAGTTAAGACAAAAGTTGACCTAGATCAAGGTCACCTTTATTTTACCTTTAGTCCCACTGCCTCAAACAGTGTGCCATAGTAATGTCCAAGCAAGCCCTTTGGCCTACATCTTTCATACCCTTATAACCTCATAATTTTAAGCCAACAGAAAGATACACCATATAACTAAATATATATATAACATCAAAACAAATTTCTCTAATTCTTTCCAGTTTTAAGATGTGCGTCCCACAGTGAAATATCATCATGTCATGAAATTAGTAAAATTGTACAAACCAATTGTACATGTACGTGCACTGCTTCTTATCAATTAATATAGGCCTAGTACTACGCCTAGATCCCAGAAGATCGATAATGCCAGATACACTGTCATCTTTTTTTCATTTTTTTTTCACTACCACAAAACTATGTCTAATACCATTAAAGTTGCAATTACTAGAATATGTTGTCTTTCATACTAGTATATACTGTGGTGTTACCATGTATGGGTGAGTCAGCATCGAAATCAGCTGCGTTGATCGGCCATATTGGAACTGTTATTTACATAGTCTGCCGATCGACTCACCCCCCACGCAAAATAAATACAAGTTTCTCACCTGAATGTAGCACTCAAACGGACCAGTTCTTTCTGTCTTCACAACGACTCTCTAAGCAATAAATGCAAACAACAAAGTTGATGAACAAGTGAATGTTTGTAAGAATGCCCCACTACATGCCGCCCTAGTTGTCATACGAGGTTCCCCAGCCCAGTTGTAGTAGTGCCAATACGTCTGCAGTTTTGCAACTTGTTTATACAAAAACACCAGCTTTATACTCCAATTATGAACAAATAAACACAGAAACATTGCACGATTCCTACCTCCATGGGTCGCGACGATGCCATTTCGATAATCAAACGCCGCAAAAATATACGTCAGTCAAGCCTTTACGATATAAAATATGACCACAAGTCACACTTGTAAAAGATACACTCAGCACACGCTTCGCGTTCGGCTACCTTCGTTCGGCTAATATTTTATTAATGTTGCGTTTACCGCATTCGGCTATTGTCGGTAAATTTCGGGTTGGGTTGGACGACATCATTTGTTTTTATGGGGTGCAAGGCATGGTCCGGAGCAGGAATGTTTGATAATGGGCTGTTAAAGACGTCTCATATGCTGACTTTAGTCCGTTTTTGACACGACCAATTCGATCCCCTTAGAGAACATAAAGACCGTAATGTAATTATTGAACAATAGATTTAAAGAAATATTTTCCGCCGCAAACTATGAAAATGTTCAGGCCCATGGTTTATATAAACTATGTACATACTTATCACATCTCAAAATAATCTGATGATACAATTAAACAATAAATCGCCTTTAGCTGACGGGTGTAGTACATATAAACCACAGATGTGATACTCAGAACAATTCAGCTTACACATTTTTTATATACTGCCCTCAGTGGTGATACTGAGTTTACACGCAATATAGAACTACGGGGGCGTTGTCCGAAACAAGGTGGCAAGTGAATAAATGGTTCATTATATTTAATAATAATTAATATTTATTTATAATAAATACCTTAGGCTTTTTGACCACCTGTAAAACAGAAGTTTGAAGACTGACTAATTTGCATAATTACTCACCCAGTGCAAAATGTTTCAAATATAAAAAGTGGAATAACTCTCATATAAACAAACCGAACAAATACTTTTATATTTGCTGTCAAAAATATTTTTCAATTAATTATTCTCTACTATTCCAACTAAAATAAAATATCTACAGAATTATTAAATTATAACATAAGTTATTTACACTTCTGTGCTTACACCCCGATTTTCGAACAGACACATTTTGAGCTGGTCGATATTTTATTCAAGATAGAGCTTCTCGAATTTCCATATTTCGCTAATATTATTTTGAACTGTATCATTTTTTGGGGCTTCGGCATTGTTTTTGAGTTAATCTGTTTAAATTTAATCATTTTAATTTAATAGAAATTTACAACACCTAATTTTGAGCTTCACGAGAAATGTTCTCATAAGTTCACGGTACCATTTTACCAAATTAGGGAGATCGATCGTAAGATTCAGAGTAAATGTTGATACATCGAGACCAGGTATTCCTGATTAATTCCAGTTTTTTATTAACGGATCGTAAATAAGTCACGTGACTCACTATCACTCTAAACGGAATGCCAATGGCTATTTGAGAATAAAGTCTATTTTCAAAATAGTTTCTTTCTACAACTTTTCGGAAGATAGGTTATGCATGAATGGATTAATGTTTTTAAAATATAATTTCTTTTGATCACTGTAAACTCTGAAAGAAGAATATCCCAAAACTAGCTACAATATTCAGTAGAAATTTGAATAATACACTTTTTACGAAGTTTTTGAACCTCGGTAAGACCTACAAAATACAACACGACAAGGAATGACATCACTACAAGGTAAGAAATGAAATATTTCCGGAAAAAATAGCGTAACGGAAATTTTGACACAACAAGGAATACACTTTAAACGGTTTTATTTGATTTATTGAACACTACAATTGTCGTTCTATTTGAGTTTACAGGCTTAGATTACAGTCTTGATTCATCCCGGAGTTTGATAAAAATGATGTTGTCTCTTATTGGTTTTTACTTTATATAATACGTAGCTACATGTTATTAATGATTTTATACATTTTGCCATTCACACCCCATACTCCCATAATTTTGAATATAAAGCATTACGCCAAACACTGTCCTACGCCTTTCCCGATTCAACGAAGCATGTAGTTTATTTGCCTTTTTTGTTAGCAGTACCCGAATTGTCAGAACTTCCATTGTTATCTTAATGTAAATGTTTATTAATAATTGACTGCGAGTAGTTTAAACATTTGAGTTTGATCCCGATTCATGGTGTGGAATTAGAATTCTATGATTTTGGAAACTGTTTGACGAATAAACAATATTGATTATTTTACGTACAGAATTTAATAAATAACATTGTCCATATTTAAATATTTTGTTGCACATTTGATATTCAGCTGAAGCTTTTTCTGTTCTTGTACATATTATTGCTAGATTTATTTCATTTTCGGGACCGAGCCATCTAAATACATTTCATATATTGTGTTATCTTTTTTGTAGAAGTTTAATATTTTCAGATTCATGCGGGTTTAGTAGTGTTTTTTGTAAAGTATTAAACCCAATAATTAAGTACGGGTTCACATGAGGGATTTTTAGAAGTGTAATTTTTTTTATTCCAGGAGGTCGATTTTTCAGGATCATGAAGTTGTTCAAGTTTGTATTGTTTTTTTCCGAGGCTTTTGTTTAATTGACTTTTTAAGTTTTCTCATTTTGAAGAATCTACCGCGTATAAACGAGTCTTTCCACAATACAATTTTTATTTAGTTTGTGAGTGTTTTGTTTGACACTTTTGTCCACTAGAAATAGGATAAATGATTAAGAATCCTCCACAGCTTTTTCACTGTCATTTTTATTGTATTTGCTGTTAACAACATCTTCAATATCCTGACACTGTTCTTATAAAGTTGTCTTTCGATTCTAATTCCCATATGTATTTTGGAAGAAGATTTGACCGTTTGTTCTTCAATACTTGTAACCACGCGCAGTAATTTCATTCACGATGGCTGACATTGTTATTGGACAGTGATCAGACAAATGTGATGAACAATTCACTTTGAAGAACTAGATCGAATCAACAGTGTTTCGGCAGTTATATCGAAATCTCTTTTACCACGTAGGTGAAGAATGTAAATAAACCAGTTGAGTCTCCTATCACTGTCCATTTAAAATAATCATAATACTCAGGTGTGACTAGTGTGCATACGCTATAGAAGTGTCATGTCTAGAAAGTTATGTGGTGGTATTCTGTGAAAAGTTGAACCTCAGACAACCACCCGTAATTGAACCAGCCAGACTGGCACGAACGGAGGAACGTTGTTGGAACATCGCCCCCGTGCGGCGTCTTTTGGACATGCACATTTGATTTGTTATCGGTAAACACAACATCTCGGTCACCTCTTATTTAACCACCTCCAGTTCGCTTCACACGGCCGGGTGCATTAAAAGGTAAGTCTACATGTTTTTTATGTGGGTTTCTCACTTATTCTCTCAAATTTGTTGAAATGTATATGATAAATAACGTGTAAAAACAACAGTGGTGCCGTTTCTAGGAAGCGACGCTTTCATAATCCAAGATGGCGGCTTACATATGTGAGTTATTTGTTATTATTTGTGAAAGTCTGGCGATCTCGTAATTTTGACAGACACTTGATGCGGACTATTGCTTGGAATTGTATTCTATCTCCTAGCCATGGTTACCAATACTTTAGGTAGTTTGGAACTTACTATGAGCTGTGTACACTTTGTGCGTTGGAAAGTTGCTGGTCACTTCGTCCAGTTTGTGAGAACTATTCATTCCTGCAGAAAAAATCCTTTATGAAGTTGATTAGTGGAAGAACACACATTTTGTTAGTAACATAATAATTTCGCAAAAAAATTGTCTTTTTTCTCTGGTATATTGGTGTGATCATCATTCTTAG